AAATCAACTTCCATAGTTCTCTTGTCAAAAAGAGAGAGAAACTCTCCTTGACAATACCATCAGGGATTGCTTCATAGCATTGGGACAGTAAATTCATCATGCCACAGGATCTTTGCAGGAAGTTTTATAACTAGCCCAGAGGAAGCCAGTAAAAACATTGGTCCAATGTCCTATTAAAGAATTCCTGATGGATCCTTAGCAGTGCATGGACTAAAAGTAATTTAAAAAAAAAAAAAAAATTTTACAGTTTTAAAAACTTTTAGTTTTATACAGTGTTGAAGGGTGCTTTTCAGTAGCTAGAATATTTTATTTCCCTAAAATTACTGAAGTATCCTGTATGCTCAGATCCATAAATCACAGCAACACCATGGAAGATGTGCTCACGGTTTGCATACTTGCGAAGGATACCCTTAAAAACTAGGCAGGTGTGTGACACCTGAGATCACTTTTAGGCCAGCAGTCCTATATTTCTCACAACACTAAACTGGAGATCCACCTGGAAGAAAATTATAATAATAATCTCTGCAGGGACAACTACAGCCTCTGCAGAAACACACACAGTGGAGTGCAAAGCAAGCCCTGAGAGACCAAATAAGCACAGCTTCCATACAGTTATTTTTAGCCTAGCTTTTTTAACCAAAAAACAAACAAACAAACAAACAAAAAAAACCCCCACAAAACAAAACCTGTGTGTTGCAGAAACACACAATTTTAAAGGAGCTGTTACCACTCAGGAAATACCTTGGAGCTACTCCCATTCAGTGCTCAGCAACCAGAAAGCCAAAACAGAAAAAACATCAAGTAACCCTATAAATCTATTACACCCAGTTTTGATGTTTGTACTACCCATACTAACTCCTCACCCTTAAAAAGACAAAGATACCAGAATAGTCAACAGGATAACACGACAGAAGACTGTTTTTCAGCTTGGAAAGAGAGACATTTGAGGGAAGAAAAAAATAGAGGCCTATAAAAGCACAAAGGATATGCAGAGTGCAAATAGAAATGACTGTTCACTATTTCTCACGAAAGTCCTGAATGGCTTGCAATGAAAGTCATCAAGAATAACATTTTAAATAAAAGGAAGAGCTGTTTTCATCCTCCAAGACTATTAAGTTATAAAATTCTCTTGTCACAGAACATCTTCAAAGCCAAAAGTATAGCAGCATTTAAGAAGTGATTAGATCTACCTTTCAAGAATTTTGTAAACCAATAGCTATGCACAGTCCAGATGCAGCCTCTACTTTATCAAGGCCCTAAATGGCTAATTGCCATGAGAAAGAAGGGTACACTCAAACCATTCCGAGTCTCTGAGCATCTGCTACATGTCATTGTTGGAGAAAAGTGAGCTACATGGATCCTTCCTCTGACCGCATATAAACTTTCAGATGAAGAAATAGATCATCCTTTTTCCCCAGCCTGACCTGCAGAACAGTCACTACCCTGACTTCGCAACATTCTTCCAAACACACTCTGCAGTGTTCACCATTCATTCATTATTCTATGAGCAAATGTGACACTGAGGAACAAAACCACTTTTCATTAGCTCTAGAAGCAGTCCACAGACATTGAAAATGCATCTTCCTGACAGATAAAGTAATCCTTGAAGCCATAAATACCAGAGAACACTATCTAACAATTGGCTTTAATGCTTCAATACATTTAGTCCAAAAATTGATTACATACAGCAAACAATGCTTTCAAATGGATTCAATCACTTAGTGACTAAATATGTTGTGAGAGATGGTCAGCAAACCAGCTGAGCGCTGCTTACCATCTTCCAAGATCTCCTACACTTCCAGACCCAAGACACAAAAGCACCTAGAAGGTCCATATTCCTCCCAAACTCAGCACATTTGCATTCTGCCCCTTTAAGTTCCTGCACTGTCCTATGATTGTAATATGCCACCAGTAAAACAGAAGCACAAGAAATCATATCAGTCATTTGCTATCTTACAGTTTCCTGGAGTTTGTGCATAGTCTGATGAGTTTTCTTCAGTTGATGTACACTTCACATTTCTACATAAGATTCCCAGTGGCAGGGTTTGTACCTATTAGTGTAAACTCTGAGCTGAGCACTTCTAGTAATTTTAGCATAAACATGCACACTCTGTTCCAAGGCTAGTGCTAGACACAAGACCATTCTAGAGTTGTAGTGCAATCACTACCTAGCTTTCGCTGGCCTTCCACTCTGCTTCAATGCCTTGAGCTTTCCTCTGGAAAGCCATTGTTCATTAACATGCTGCTTCTGTGCACTCTGTTCAATTATCACTTTGTCCCTTTTTGATCTTAAAGCAGCAAAAAGAACAGTGTTCTATGCTAGATATGATAAAGAAAGAAATGCAGACTGGGGTGGCACAGAAGAAGGTAAGGAGAGAAGATAAACTGGAAAACTCTCTCCCATTACATCATTTGGAAGAAGATGCCAAAGAACAGGTAGTCAAAAATGAGGCTAGATGACTAATTCCTACGGAGTTGATTGCTTTTCAGACAGATATCTAAATTCAGCAATAAATTCTATGTTACACCAGGATTTCCAGAGACTACTCTTCAATTAATGCTTTTTAGAAAGCATGCCTTGCTTGTTTAAAAAGGAACACTCTAAGAATGCGATTTATTTTATTTATTTTAAGGCCAATTTCTTAAGTCATATCTGCTGTAACAGTCTACACTTAAGGTGTAAACAGCAGTACTGTACAATATAATCTACATAGCTATTCAAGTATTCCTAGTCAGAATTTGTGCCCTAAGCAATCATTGTTCCATTACCCCTGTGTATAATGTGCTCCTTCAAAAGACTTCTTGAGATAAAAGCTGAAAACCTTAATATAACAATTATATATAAAACCATTGAAAAGAAACTGGAACTTGCCAAAGACAGCAAAACATGCTTGCCCACTAGATATACATTGCCAATAAACTCACTGCAGCCAAGAAAGAACAGACCTCTTTGTCTACACTTACGTCCTACCAGGTTTATGGAAGCAATTAAATCCCAAAGAAGCATCACACTATGTTACATATTAAATCTAGTGACTTGTGACACTGCCTTCAGTAATAACTCTCACATTGACAAATCAAACATCTGACTGAAGCACAGCATACATGGATATCCGTAACTATACTGAGCACAACAGGATCATGCTTGCTTGTCTAAAATAATATATTTTTTTTTAAATTGCCAGACTCCAATCTGCCTGCACATAGCTTTGTAAATAGAACTACATCTAGACTTGCAGCCCTGCTCAGTGCTTCCAAGGAATGCCACAACTGCAGGAGAGAGCAAAACAACTTTGGGATTTGACCAGTACCACGTGCTGAATGTTTTACATATACGGATCATCAGAGTCAGAGATCTAATCTGTGCATGGAACACAGGATGAAGTTCTGTGTAATAAAAGCCATAAATTTGATTCTGTACTTGCTTGCAACAAGCCCACAACTTCTTGCTGAATTAGAGTATACTTTTAAAGGTATCATCACTTCTTTGATTATGGAAGTTAGTTCAAAATAATCTCATATTACCACCAGTATTGTACGCCAAAATTGATGTACCACATAATCTGTCACCTTGAGCTGACCTGCCCAGTCGCCTCCAAAGAGCACCACAGACTCTTTAGACAAACCACCCAAAGCTACACAACCCATACTGCCCCCCCAATCCTAAAACCTTTTGTTGTAACAGTCTTTCATCCTATCACCTACGAACAGCTGTGCTGCTGCACCCCCTCCTGCTTTATAACAAGGTTTTAAAAGACTGAGCAAGACATCTTTTCCAAAGCAAACAAACCCAGTCCTCCTTTACAGGTGTAAAGTAGTCTTTTACTGTCAGCCTTCTCCCATTTAATTGGTATTTACTGTCAGCAGTTCCCAAAGTCAGGCAGACTCCAGCAACGAACAGATCAAATTACTTCCTTTAAATCACATACAAAACTCCAGTTACTGACTGGAATTAAGCTTACTTTTCCATTTACCATTGCCACAATAGACTGTTATTGGGACCTACTGTATTAACACCTCTCTTCCCACAGTACTGCTGCATACTATACTCAGTAACTTCTGTAGAATATTCTCCGTATGTTTTACCTCACACACAGAGATGAAATGAATGAAGCCCATCACATTCCTTGTCAAAAGAAGAAATAGACTAAAATTGTATTTTGGTGTTTCCTTTATTTTTCTTTCTCTCAATTTCTGGTTTGTTTTTTTTTTTTTTAAGTAATGACATAAGTATTGCAATAAAGCTGATGCAAGAACTTGTCCTGTAAGTTTAGTAGATGTGAGAAGAACCAGAATTGATAAATAAGTTCAAGGAACTGATCTGAGTGTAAAAAATAAAAATAGAAGTTCCCACTTAGGAAAAAAAAAAGTAATACTAAGTACACTGAGAAAAACCGTAAAAGTTAAAGACAACCTGACTGAAAAGCTCTTTATATGTTCCAGATATATTTAAAATAATCGAAGCGTTCCGTTTTATTTGGAATTGCTCTGGCTCCAGGCTACAGCATACACACTGAAGATATATAACCCCTGTGAACAACGGTGTCCTGTAACTTGTATTTGAAAGCTCTAAAGGACTAATGAGATGTTTCCCAATACTGTATAGGATGAAAGGTTAACCATCTTCCCAAGTCAACTAAGTCAACATCTAGAGCAGCCCAAAAAGCAACGACTTTACCTAGTAAAGCTAGTTTCTTGGGAGTGATGAAGAAAAACAAACTTCCACGTTTAGATTTTGAATACCGCAATTTAACAGATGAGGAGACTTTACCCAACATCCCCAGGTTAGTTTTTCAGACGTAAGTTCAGCAAAGTTTGTGTTATATACCATAACAAAGTTAGCCTTAAATGACTACCGCTATACCTACCTGCTAGTTTAAAAGAAGCTAGCTTTTAAGAACAAGCAGTATCTTTCATCTCAAGTCCAGCACATTAACAATTACAACTGCACGAAATATATAGCTGGTGAAGTTCCAATGTAAGAAGTGACAGACACTTACCAATACACACATCTATCTTCCCCTTGATAGCAGCTTCATGCAGAGGAGTGTAGTTCCAATTGTCTCTAGCGTTTGGGTCTGCCCCTTGACACAGTAACAGACTAACCACTTCAGCATGACCAAAAGAGCAGGCGTTGTGAAGGGGTATCAGCCCTCCGTCATCACGAGCATGAACGTTGGCTCCCGTCTGTAGCAAGTGCTCTACAACATCCTTCCTTCCGAAACCTGTAAGAGAACATATTTTTGTTCATTTATCTGGTAAAACAACATGATTTAATATTTAAAACTGTTTACTCTTAGTCCAGTGTACAGCCAAAGAATATTATTCATGTGATTACATTCACCTCCTCAAATAGTTGGAAGGTTCACTTACACTCACAACAGAGGTGAACAGTGTTGTATTATTGCCAGCCTGACTGGCTGCCACTATCTCACAAAAGTTCTACAACAGGGACACCATTCTTTTTCAAGAAAAGCTTTCTGTGAATTTAAAAAAATTTAGTATAATCCATACGTACCTAAAGCAAGTGCTTTACATACTATTTCTTGATATAGGTCTTCACCTTGGACAAGACCTCATATTAATAAACACTGAAGGACACGGTCAGTGCTCAAGCAGAACAACCTTATCTCAACCCAAACTACATTCTTGCTCTTTTTCAAAGAGTCTGGCTACCTCTAACTGACAAACTGACAGAGAGACTAAGGGTACAGATAAGTAGAACAGAGACCTCAGCTGGGAAATAATACCTCAGGAAGGTCCCAGCGTAGGCACGCAGCCTCTGTTATGGCCAGGGAAAACATCACCATAAAGCCAGCATCATTAAACTAATACACTTCAAAATCCTGCATCAGCATGCCAGGCCCTGACACCTTTAGCTTATTGTCCACAATGAACCTGGAAAGGTCTTAGCGCCCAAATGTGCTTCCTATTGCCCCAAATGCCTTAGAGCCACAGTCTCCAAACTTTTTTGATTGTGCACCCCTATCAGTAAAAATGTTTTTTGAGCATACACCCCCAATATATGTATTTATAAATATCATATAGATGCACTACTGCACTGCGGAGGACAACTTGGGTGTGTTAGCTGACGCGCAACATGAGCCAGCAATGTGTGCTCACAGCCCAGAAGGCCAACCGTACCCCGGGCTGCACCAAAAGAAACATGGCCAGCAGGTCGAGGTGATTCTCCCCCTCTCCTCTGCTCTGGTGAGACCCCACCTGGAGTGCTGCATCCAAATCTGGGGCCCCCGACATAAGGAGGACATGGACCTGCTGGAGCAGGTCCAGAGGAGGACCACAAAGATGGCTGGAGAACCTCTCCTATGAGGAGAGGCTGAGAGAGTTGGGGTTGTTCAGCCTGGAGAAGAGAAGGCTCTGGGGAGACCTTATAGCATCTTTCCGGTATCTGAAGGACACTCACAAGAAAGCTGGAGAAGGATTTCTTAAAAGGGCACGTAGCAATAGGATGAGGGGTGATGGTTTCAAACTGGAAGAGGGTAGATGTAGATTAGCTATCAGGAAGAAATTTTTCACTATGAGAGTGGAGAAGCACTGGAACAGGTTGCCCAGAGAAGCTGTGGAGACCCCATCCCTGGAAGTGTTCAAGGCCAGGTTGGGCAATGCTTTGAGCAACCTGGTCTAGTGGAAGGTGTCCCTGCCCATGGAAGCGGGGCTGGAATTAGGTAAGTTTTAAAGTCCCTTCCAACACAAACCATTCTAGGATTCTATTATGTGGATTATAAACATACACAAAAATAGAAATTTCAAAAGGCTGTGACAAAGATGAAATAAACACTTTTAAAATTTCTTTTACATTTATTAAGAGTAGAAACTATATTTTCTTCCTGCACCCCAATGAAATATCTTGCACAGCCCACTTTGGAGACCACTGCCTTAGAGGACAGGAACAAAAATCAGGTATCAGGCTCAAGAGGGACAGTTTGAACTAAAACACAAGTGTTCGTTTTTGTACTAGGTTGCATCTCAGAGGTTGGACTGCATTTCTTACAAACCTCAGGACTAAAAGCAGTATCACTGGGGTTTTTAAAAGACTGTCACTTTAAGAGTTACTGCGTCTTCTGGTAATAATGGATACCAACCAGCTTAAGTATGAAGAATCCCACATATATGAACTATGTTTATGAAACAGCTGAATTAAATGCTGCAGCAAGTGAAATTCCATCACAGTGGTGCTAACTGGCAGCATATAGATTGTATTAACTCCACAGATCACATACTGAAAACATAACTACAGACTTTATTTCCCTTCTAGAAGGCAAATACAAAGCTTGAGAGAAGGAACAAAGAACCTGTCAGTTCTCCCCCAGGTGACAGTGTAACTCAGCCGCAGCAAAATGCTGTTAAAACAGTGACAGGAATGATTCTCAAAAGTCAGTACCCTCTGTGGCATGTAACAACTCATGCATGAAGACTTCTCAAATGTCAACGTTTTACCCCAGAATTGCAGTCCCTGGATAGGACCTCCATTTCAACGAGTTAAGCCCCCTTTTTGCCAGAGTAGTGCACTAGTTACAGCTATGTAGACTTATGGTGCGGAATTAAGATGCTTTTCCCCCACAGTCCATACAGTGAGATCTCTAAGCCAGATCTAGCAGCTTTGCATGCACACTAGCTTATCCAGCTAAGGCTAATGTTATAACTTAACATCCAGCTTTAAGTCAAGCTGCAGGCTAGCCATTCTGCAGGAATTTACACTGTCTCCTCAGTGAAGCACACAGTGCTTCAACACACTTTCTTGAAGGACACAAGTTTTCTTAGAAGCTGACTAATACTATGGTTAAGGCAGGCAGGGCCAAAACAAAAAGCCCCTTTACCGAGGCTTATCATGGTTTGAGAGTTTTGATGACAGTTTGACAATATCTCTGTTTCTGCCTAAAGAAGTATTCTTCTATGAGACACAAGCAAGCAGGCTGAAGAACAGTCTGGGGAAGCCACCATGGATATGCACCCAGATGCTCACATGTAGTACAGACTATAGCTGTTCACATCTCAGTTAATCCCATATGGTAACACAGCTCAAGGGCTCTCCAGTTAACAAGTAGAACCTGGTTACTTTTGGATAGCTGTAAGGATTCCCCTATCCCCACTGTACAGAGCCCTCAGCTGCTCACAGCACAGATGCTGGACCACTACAAATTACAAGTTAGCACATTGAGCCGATACCAAAGTGTGTTTTCTTTAATATGTTGGGCTAAACAGCAGTTCAGCAGCTGCTCCACAAGCTGCTGAGCCATACCAGCCACAGGGAGGGGCCCACAACCAGACTGGCACCTCACTCAGCAATCCAATTTTAGTCCGTCACTGCAGATGAGTCAAAGCTTTCTGGTACATTATACACTGATCACTTCACGTTAGAAATTACGCTACAGAAATCAAAGTGTGCGAATCAAAACAGGTATTATTAAAAGTGATACTTATTTATCATGACAAAACTGTTACCAGAAGACATGGTTTTCTTAACTGAACTGTCAGCAAGGCCGCTGCTACCGTAAATCACTGCAGCTATTAGCACAAAAACTGATTCGTTTGCTTCTGTTATAAAACAGCCAAGGAACATCACCTGTAAGTCTTCAAATAGAAAATGACAGCTTAAGCGGGTACAACAGCAAACAAAGGGTATCTGGTCCCACACCAAAGCTAACAGGCCTGAAGCATAAATACTAAGCAGTAAGCCCTCAAGGTTCCCACATTTACATTGCTCATTTGAGCAAGACAAGAATTAGAAAAGGATGCTTTCAACTAAACAGTAATTCAACAGATTTTATTAGCCTTTAGTTTTTATAGACTGAACTACTAAAAACAGTGCTGAAACTGCATGAGCATTTGCTTTACGCGTACTTAACTCTTGGGGAAAAACAACCTGACAGTGCCTGAAAACCCAGACTTCTTTTCAAATTGTTCGGTGTTGTGATTTTCAGGACTACACACATACTTCTTCAAAGTACTGCTGGGCATGGGGTCATTGATAAAGGTATCTTTGGAAATGCCAGCAATAAACACTTTACAGTTTTTGGTGAACTAACACTTCCGTTCAGTCTTCAAAAAGCACAGTAAAGGTTACTGTGATTTTATCCCACCAGACCACCCATCTTTCAGAGAAAAAGTAACTAATTATGGGAACAGCTTCTCCCAGCGCCACCACAGGCAAACCTGTAAAAACTTGGATTGACAAAGTGCCAGAAAGTCACATGACCCAATCTGACAAAGCAGTTGTAATTACTGAAACTCCTGAAGTGTTGAGGTCACTTTTTGTAAAAAACAAAAGACACATGCCAAGCCATTTGTGGCAGATGAAGCACGTGTAATTTGCTTTAAACTGAAGAAACTGATGGGATGTCATTTAAGATGACTTTAAAAATCTTACTCTTGTATATGACCAGTGCAACTTTAATTTACAAAGTCTAAGGAAGCCTTCCCAAGAAAGGATGTGTAATCAAAGCTCCCAAAACACAATCAAATAGAAAGTTCCTACAGAAAACATTCGAAACCAGGGTAACTATGGAGGAGAGTCACATTTAATGGCCCAGCATGCAAGCCTGTTTTGATGAGATTCACCTGCCAGCTTCCAAAGCACAGTCATGGGCAGAGTTCCTTATTAGCTTGGGCTATTTCACACAGGTAAACGCACAAGTTTTGCCCTCAAATGCACAAGTTTTGCCCTCATTTTAGCTTCTTTACACAATTTAGAAGTTTCAGGCAAGTCACAGTACCTCAGAAAACATATTGTCCATGAGAGAAAGAAAGCAGTAATTCCATTATAAAAAGACAATGGCAAGAGAACAGCTGAAATTTAAGGGTGAAACACTCATCAGTCAAACTAAAGAAAAGACAAAAATTCAGAGTGACTGACAGGCTCTTCATTTCTCCAGTCATCTCACAAAACGGCTTGGTGAAAGCCAGGAGATGGACATAGCTATGATAGCTTTACATAAATCAAGAGACAGGCAGACAATTGAGAGAGAACACCACTTAACTAGTTCTTTGCCAGTGCTGTATTCTTGCCTCTTCCCAATCTATACCTGTCACTTTAGGCTGAAAGCAAGAAAGGAAGGCTCTAAGTAGTAAACTGGCAGCTTGAAAATTAAACTGAATAAAACTTTTAAATGCCATCAGACAAGACAGCACACAGACACCACCAAATGCTTAACTACTACTGCCAAGAAGATCTGTCCTACTCCCAGCCTGCAAGCTTGTCCTGTCC